TCATGAACTTGAGGCACAAATTTAAAATCAAACCATTCTTTAAATATCACTCTATTCATCCAAGCTCCTTTCTGATTAAAATAATGGATAGGCAGACTTGAAGCTACTGTTCCTTTAAAAGAGCATGTTCTTGTCACTTTGCCGATAACTACTGGTGTTGGTTTGTGTGTTCCTGATGCATTAGAACAGCACAAGACTGTCAATCTCTCCTTACTGGATTTGTGACCTGGAGCCTGTCTTTCATTTTTAAAGGCCAAAGTTCTGGCTGGCAAGCACTTCCAATAAAGACCCGTTTCATCGGCATTATAGATTTGTTCTGGCAGCAGATTTTCACTTTTCACGAAACTATCAAAATTGGTGCAAAATTGAACTGATGATGACAAGTCCCCTGACAATTTTCTCACCTTGAATACTAATTTCTCGTATTCCATGACGCTGCTTGAAACATGTTAGTCAACCGGAAGAAGCGTCAAAACTTCCTTGTAGTTCAAGTGCTTCGGAAAAAAAATTCGCTTGTTTAGCACAAACTGCTCCTGTTATTGTTGTTCCCTGTGCCCTTAGTTGATTAAACCAGATCAGCATTGCTTTGTCGAGATCATCATATGTTGATTTTTTCGTGGTTTTCCTCTTCTTCACTCTGCTTGAATTAGAAGACTAAGCAAAGGAAATTAATTGATTCTTTTGTTTTTTCAAATCACGAACACTTTGTTCTCCAATACTGTATTGCATTGCTAATTGTTTAACTATACCTCTTTTTCCCAACTGATTGATAATTTCAAGTTTCTGTTGAATACTTAACACAACACGCTTCCTTTTACACTCTGACATTTTGCTAACGCACTTGAAGATCGATACAAAGAGACTAACTAGGGCGGTATATCTGTCCTTGAAACTTTCCACAAATCCTTGCATTCTTTCACCCCTACCCTAGAGCATTGTGTTAACATAACAGGACCAAAAAATGCAGAGCTCGGTTCACACTAGTGCGAAAATAGTGTTACATCTCACCATATGAAACAAAAGTGAATGAATATTAAACAACATATAAGCCTCAAGAAGCCCTGCAAACCAGTTTATCTGCCCCTGGATAATCGAGAGTTGAGTGTAGTGTCTATTTCCATGATTTGTAAGTGTGACTGGCAACTTTACACAAAAGTATCAGTGAAGTCATGTAAGTCTGGACCATTCTGTGTAATACATGGCCTGTTAGAATTTCTTTCCTTCTTTTCCTCCTCTGTCTTTATCTCTCTTTCTCCCTGTCTTTGAGATTTTTCATCCACCTTCACTTTTCATCTTCCTTGCTTTTCTTTCTTTTTGCATAAGTGTATTAGAAATGCTTCACAGTGGTAAATGTTCAGTTTTATGTAACAAGACTATTCTTTTGGATATCCATATTTCTTTTCCCAAACGTTATTTCAAAAACTGAGTCTGTGCTCATCATCAGGTGTAAGGGAGTAAAGGTTACTAGTCAGCTAGTCCCATTAGAAAGGGCTAGTCTTGATGTTTGTTCAGTAATTAAGGCCAGCTCTTTCTAACTGTCCCATTTGAATTGTAACCATTCTTCCCCAACATCTGATGATGGAAACAGATCCAGATACTGAAACATTATGTTTGAAAAGAGTCATCAGCAGATGTTGTCCAAAATATAGCAAGTGTCACGTAACTTCAAACAAGGCCAAGAGTAACCTTGAATGCGCAGAAGAAAAATTTCAGACAAGGGGGTGGGTTCGAGGGTGTGAGAAGTGACAGGCGGCCAGTTGTTTGTAAGGCACCCTTGAAGCAGGTTATACTTATGGTTTTTCTATCATCTGTTTATAAATGTCAGTTTCCTTGTGCGCTAAATTGTACATAATGAGTAAGAAATTAGGTCAGGGTATATTTTAATTTTCAAAGTATAAATTAGTATTACACATTAAACGTATTTTTCTTTGCATGATGAGTGACAGTATATTTGTATTATTGTAATGTGTTCTTCGAAAAGAGAATAGGGTAGTTTCATTGAAACATGAGGGGTCGGTGAAAGTGGAAGAACGAGTGTTAAGAAACTGGTCACACCACAAGCTATGCACGGGATTTGACTAGGAATGCGGGGCCTCGTTCGAAGTTACGTGACACTGTATATAATTGTCATGGTTATTGTAACTTACCATGACCAGAAGAAGCATTTAGACTTGACTTATCCAGTTTTATATTTGTATCACTCTGCAGTTGATGGAATACCTAAGCTCTTTGCCTGCCTTCTCTGAAGTCCTGGAGCCGAGGGTACTCACCACGCATATGATCGAGAACCCACCAGGAGAATGGCAGTTAACTTCGGCACACCAACCCATGGAACACATACCATTTGTCATTCAGCCAGGGACAAAGGGTATTTTCAATGAAGAAGATCCATCAAGCATTGTCTGGAAATGCAGATTCAACTTCTTCCACGCAGTGCATCATGAAATACTTTCACTTATATCACAGGTTTGTTAATAGCATAGAGCGTAGAGTAATAGAAAACAGAAATTTTGGATGCTCAGATACTGTTGTTATTCATGTGGGGACAAATGACGTCAGAAGATCTAGAAACTTGGACTACGTTATGGGAGAAGTGTATGACCTTGTGAACACGATAAAGACAAAATTTCCGAACTCCAGATTAGTGCTCAGTGGTGTTTTGCGATGCAAGGGCGTGTCATGGCGACGTGTTGGTGCGGCAAACGACAGATTTGAATGGATTGCTAGAAATCTATGAACTACCTTCGTAGACCCGAACAGTTGGATTAGAGATGGCGACTTCAGTAGGGACGGACTGCACCTAAACAGAGGTGGAGCGAGACAACTGGGAGACCTCTACTGCAGAGTTTGTGGAAAAGGCGGCGAAGGTGAAAAGGTGAGAGGAAACTGACTACACAGTGCTGGGAGCGAGTTCAGTGAGGAGACACCAGAGGGATCCGANGACTCTTAACTTTTTTGATGTTATGAATGAGATAACTCAATATTGGCCTCTTTGCTGGTCTTCTTTTGTTTGAATCATGCAGTTAAAAGAAACAGTCATGTTTGATAGTGAACTCTTAGGTGACTGGATGCATCAGTTCAGAGCTCCTTCAGACCTCCTCTCTCTCTGTCCTCAGGACAAACAGGGTTGCTCATACTCGTACATTCACATATTGAGGACTCATGTTCAAGGACTGCTGATGACCTATATCAATACCAATGTTTGTTCAAGAAGATATTATTTCTAGTTGCTGTAGAAACACCTGTTTTTAATTACTGAGTTGGTATAGTGTCTTATGTTGTATTCTAGACAACTGAGGAATTGGGGTTTGATTTCTGACAGGACAAGAGGGTTTTCTCTTCTGCACAGTGGTCCCCACCCAACCACCTATCCTGTGGGTTCTGGGTTTCTTGGGGGTAAAGTAGTTGGGGACTGAAGCTGACCACTTACCTCCATTTAGTGCCAAAGTTAGGAATGCATGGAACTGTGTCTCCACTGCCCGTTTTCATTTCATGGTGAGCTACTTAATTCAGCACAATGGTAACTTTACCCCTACATTGTACATTATGTACTGTGTATTTAATATATGTGTCATTTTGCTAATTGGTTCTGTTCCTATCATCGTGCAATAAGTTCACAGTATGTACAGTGTGGCACTTCCCTTGCAGTTGGCTCTACTCCTATCTTTGTGCAATAAATTCACAGTATGTACAGTATATGTGTGGCACTTCCCTTGCAGTTGGCTCTACTCCTATCTTCGTGCAATAAGTTCACAGTATGTACAGTATATGTGTGGCACTTCCCTTGCAGTTGGCTCTACTTCTATCTTCGTGCAATAAGTTCACAGTATGTACAGTATATGTGTGGAACTTCCCTTGCAGTTGGCTCTACTATCTTCGTGCAATAAGTTCACAGTATGTACAGTATATGTGTGGCACAATTATAAAAGACAAGTCCGTCCAGTGTGACTATTTCAGTTTTCTCGCTTTATGATTTACTACCCTTACACATTTCGATCCATTTGGATCATCTTCAGAGGCACCAAACACTTTTTAGAAACCACTATCACAACAATTGTCATATCAAATACACATGTATTGTCCAAGTACACAATGTTCCATCTATTAGTCACAGCAGCCTTTCTGGTTATAGAAATATTTAAAGCTATTTTAAAGTTTTAAAAACTTTGTTCAAAATTAAAATTCATAAACCATACAGGTTCGTGTCAATTACCCCTGTCGTCTCTCTTCAAGGTGGCTGATGTTGTGCTGCCTATGTAACTTGAGTAAGGAGATTCTTAATATAGTCTGTTATGATTTCTTGGCCTGCTGTGCTGTTTATACGAGTATAAACAGCACACTTTCTTGACCTCTGCACTAGTTGGAGGTGAGTTGTCAGCTTCATACCCTGCCCTGGCTACTTTACCCCCAGGGAAAGGCTCTTTGTACCCATTGGATTGGAGGTTGGGTGGACCCCATAGCCTGTCTGGATGACATGGAGAAGAGGAAATGCTTGACCCTACTGGGACTTGAACTCCAACCCCTCAGTCGTCCAGCCCATAGCCAGTCTCTATACCGACTGCGCTATCCTGGGGTAGTATACTAAATAAGTGTTCCTGACCCTCAGCACTAATATAAACAAATAGAAATATAGTGAACCATCGTTATAATGGACTATTGGGGGGGAGGGGGTTGGACAGAATATCTGTTATTACTACTCTCAATTATAACCGAGCGAAGGAGTATTTGTGTAAGTACACCATAGGCTACATAGCCAGTACACGCAATAAACATAGAAACACACAATGTTATTACATAAAGGTTCTTATATTGTGGTTGTTTTTTGTTATAAAAAGTTCTCTAGCTACAAAACCTTCTTGGTGCCTGAGCATCTCTAGAAATTCACAGTTGTACACATCCAGATTTTGTCCGTTGTATCCAGTTCTGTTATAACAACAGTTTACTCTGTTTGTCAGTTTAATGAAACCCAGTCACCTGAAGATGGCACTAGAGCCAGCTCTTGAAATATATTTGTTAAATACTGATGAACTTCAGACAGTAGATAGTGTTTCACCATAACTGTAGTTTAGAGCGCTGTTAAATTTTGCTATTGCAGGTGCAGGCTCCTGTCGGATCCAAAACACTAAATAATGTCATATCTTCACTCAAGTCTTTAACTAATCTACTGAAGTCAAAATGCAGGATAACTGATGAAATGATTGGTCCCCTGGAGACAGTGTTTGTGTTGGCTGACAGGTAAGTTTTCTGTTTGCTTATTTGTTGTTACTAAAGATTTTGTAGCATAGTTGAGATGTAAAAAAATTATAATGGATGATGAATTTATGGAGTGTGGGAGGATAAGTCATTACTTGTTGCAGGCTATTTTCACATTTGCTTGAAGAAGAATGCCGTCTTTTGGGATGAGGCGCCATGTAGATATTGTATAAACCGACGTTTCAGAGCAACATATCGCTGCAGCCAGCTGCTCACGCTGGTTCCTTGCTCATGGATTTTTCTTCTGTCTTGAAGATGGAGGCGATACTTTCATCCAAAACGCCAGTTTATATAATATCTACACAACAACACATCCCAGAAGATGACATTCTTCATGGTCACTGCTGTGAAAACCTTAAATCTTACATTTGCCTGAAGAGACTGAGAGTAACCATGAAAGAGAGCCGATCCTCTAGTTAGGATTGAATTACTTATATCACATTTTACTTCTCTAAGGTCCATCTTAAAGTTACCTTCCTACTTCCTGTCTTTCTACATTTTCCAGGACATTTCCCCATCAAACCTTTAAAATCAGCGCACAACATGTATCCCATTATGAATATTGCCTTCTTGTTATGAGGCAGGTGTAATAACTGCAAAACTCTGATGTTCAGTGGGTAAGTTTCATTTCAGCCTTTACAGTTCCATCAGAAATGTAAAATTAATCAGAATCTGTAATAATGTAAGTTATACACAGAAACTGATCACTAAACATAGTAATAATACATATATACTTCTCATTGTCCTTGTCATATAGACAGAAACATTTCAAAGGAAATAAAAGAGTTTTATCTATACAAGTTTGAATTTCTTGATAGTGGTAAGCATACAGGTTGTGGTCTCCTGAATTGTGGCACTGTTGTGCTGTAGATGGATACAAACATCTTAGAAGAGTGTTAAATGTGGGGGTTAAAGATGGAGTCAGTACAGGAAGGTTACAAGGAATATGGTCTTTCATGTTCCCTACTCATAGGTCTGAGTTTTGAGTCCTACCATCTGTAAAAATTATCAGTGAAACTGAAATCAGCCCTATGCTCAAAAGTTGGAGTGAGATAAAAAAACTAGGTCAGAGTATCCACTTACAACACTATATAGTGTCACAGTGCAGAAGACCACAATCTGAAAGAGCCGTAATTTCCCAGAACTTCTATGTTACAACCAAATAATCATGTTTCATTAGTCAATGTTGTATTGATCTTTTGCAGGTTCTGTCAATTATCAAATCCTCCATCTGTGCTTCTGGCATCATGTCTGGATTGTATGATGGCACTGATGTCCTTCTTCCCAGAAGAAGTTTGCACTCGTATCTCAAAATTGCAGTTCCTTCCCGGTCTCTATTATTATAACCCAACTCTGATTGAGTGTATCCACGCTGAACATACCAACCTCTTCGTGCTGGGTACACTGGTAGTCACACAGGAGCGGTCGCATGGGACATACCCCCTGTTGAAAAGCTATCTACAGTTCATACACAGACTGATGAAGGTTAGGTAATACTAACCCACTGGGTTAGTTTTTGGTTGTGTGTAGCGATAGAGACCCTTCACCATAACTCTCTATATAGCATAGTTGTAACTGCTGTAATGGCCAGTACATTGGCATGCCTCGCAGTGAATTTAATTTCATTTTCAAGATAAATAACAGAACTTTTTGCAAACATCCATTAAAATATTGACACTTGTAGTGGTGATTCATTGTTTTTCTCATGAAGATGAAGAATCAGTCAGTAAATGTTGTTTAAATGATCTTTATTCTTGAAAGGGTTCAGATGTTCTGTTACGAAGGGACAGAACATTGCTTCGGAAAGTCTCCTCATGTATGAAGGGCGAAATAAATATGCTGTTTAGGATATTACATAATGAGGACCTTTTGTTAGGATAGTGAACTCTAGGATGCTGTGATGGACTAGGCTTTTGGTTGGGAGGGTGGAAGGTAAGGACTGCAGAATTTTGGGGAGACCTCTTGGAAACTGTCACTTTTGAGGGCTGTTTCAGATTATGGTCTTTAGGTTTATGACATCATGTAGTCTGATACATGGGTACCAATATTCTGAAGGAACCTGCTGCCTTCATCTGCATTGTAGAAGTGAGACAAATTTGGAGATGTGTATGTTATATAGGAGGGTTCGAGTACTGGATTGTAGAGCAATTAGAGCCCAGGACAGAGAGTAGAATATGGGACCCTGGGTGGGCGAATTGAAGTTGGGACTGTATACTCTTAAGTTTGGCAGCTACATAAGTGGCAAGAGGCCCTGGAAAGGACAGCTACAAAAATTCCTCTTGTAAGATACATGAGTAGAGGTAAAATAAGTTATGTCTTGTCCCTAGAAAATGCCTTCTTTCATTTGTTTGGGGCATAATGAGAGGGTTCCATCATCTGCTTCATGTTAATATTGCCAGAATGGAGCCCAGTACCTGTCGCTATCCAGAAGATTCACTCTATGGAGCTGTGTCTTAGGTTTATGCTGTGTTTTCCTATGGCTAACTTTTTTTGTATCATAGAAAGGACTGTACTTATGATCCTGTTTGACCATAGTTTCAATGGAACATCCAATCTTTGCAATGTAAACAATTCTACACTTGCAGGGGATGCCATACACAACCTGATTGTCTTTACAGCCAGGTTCTCCTTCATTCGTAAAATGAAGCTGGATACTTTCCATGCCAGGAGAATCAAAGTTTTGAAAAGTCTCATTCATAAATGAAACATACTTACTTAATAACACATGTAAGGGTGCATTTACCCATGCTTCTATTTGATTGTTGGAATTAATACTCTCAGTGAAACTTTTTACAAGAAACAAATTTAAAATTTTATTCCTTAAAGTCAAATAAGAACCTACAAGTTTTGTTTCTGAGTTGCTATTTCAGCAAATGTTTAGAATGGAAGTTTTACTGAAGGTGAATTCCATTGATTTTCAGCCAGGGTCTGAAGTAGAAGACCTGAACAGTTCATCAACTCTCATCGATGAAGATGCAGTGCAAAGCCGAATTCGTCTAGTGCTTCCAGGAGTGGTTTTCATACTGAGAGATGTTTTCCCGAACTACATGTTTTGGCGATACGTGGACGAGGGGGATAGGGAAATCATTGCGCTGAGTTGTATGCAAATGATCCATCAGCTGCTCAGTTTGAATTTTTCCAAAGAATCGGCTGCAAACGTCAGTCGCCCAATCTATATTCTGTACAGAGCATGTCTGTACAGCCTTCTATTTTTGGATGCAGGGGCTGCACTGCTGCGGATTGTTGGATCAGGTATATCCGTCCACACCTAATCATTTATGTGTTAAGAGGCAAGTGAGGTTTGCAGCAGTGGATTCGTAATCTGATTTTATCAGTGTCATGTTACATTGTTGAAAGTATAACTCTTCTCAAAATTTAGTAAACTTCAAGTCATTTAATCCAGCAGCGTTTCTCAGTGGGTGGTCCGCTGTTTAATTTATGCTTGTTTACCACATAGTTAGTGTTTTATATATTGTCACATGCATGAGTGATTATGGATGGGGTTGGATTGGTAATTGGATTTATTGAACTCTCATGCAAGTCATTATTCCACTTCACAAATAATTGTCACAAACAGACTGGTGTTCCCAGTCTAATACAGTCCCAACTAATCGTTTCCTGGTAACGGCTTCGAACAGTGGAGATTCTTCAGCTTTTGCACTCACTTCATCGCCTGTTGGCTAATATTCCATGATTCTGAACTCTTGCTCCAATTGACTAATTCCCAGGCTGGTGGCCGTCTTGCACCAACCTGCTACTCTTCTCTTCACAGACTGACTTACAACTGACTGCAGCTCAAAAGTTGAAGTCCTCATTGTATAACCCCTTGGTATGTACTGTTTAGAAAACACCATTTTCAACAGTTCCTGTATTGTTATGTGCGGACTTGTTGCTGTGGAAACCTGTTCGTTTTGCTGTCGCTACCTAGTAACGGGTCTACACACTACAATATAATTCACCAGAAATGGAAAAGTTACTGTTTCTCAAGCACCTAAAAAATTTCTGTTCAGTAATGAACAAGAAGTTCTAGAAATGCAGTTTGAATCCTGATTCAGAATTTTCATCATGCTGTAGGGTTGTGACATTGCTATGCAGTTCCCACACATGTTAACTTTTAATTTTATGTTTTAGTTTTAAGTAACTTTAACCGTTTGGAACCTGAAATTTATCCAAATAGTATTTAAAAAATGATTTCCTGTCAGACAGAAACATTGTTCATTTGTTATAAAGACTACTTGCTGAATTCTGTATAGGAATGTAATTGCTTTTTATTCTGAGAATTATATGGAAATATGGTGTAGGATAAACACTGAACTTCTTGTTAAAGTGGGCTTTACGTATAGCAACCACTGTTTTGAAACAGCTAAAGCATGGAGGTCCTGACAGGTATTTGCTTTACTGTTAGAATTTTGGTACAACACACCTTTCCTTAACTTACTTAACTTAGGATGGGACTGGTTGCATTTTCAAAGTCCTGTCAGATGTTAAAATAATTTTGCCATACCTCTTGACATTGAAGCAAATCATCCCAGTCAGTATCATGCTTAGTTGACTTTTTATGGATATAACAAACAGGATCTTTATGTTTTCTCTGTAGCTGATAGGCATATTCTTGCTCTGGATTGATGTTTTAATTCTTGTTGATTCATCATTTCACGTATACATATTGAAAACAGTAATAAGTCTGACCAATTGATTTCTAGCCACTAAGTGGCAAGACTAGTAGGGTTGCTATTATTGATCCTCTGTACCAGCTCCCTGTGTGGTCAGTTTCTTTGTCAGTGATGTAACAGTCTTGAACCAGGTATCAGCCTGATATGTGTATGTGCAGGTGACCACTACATCCAGGCTCTTATGGAGCAACAAGTGAGCTGGGCAGCAGGACGTGGGTTGACATTCATTCGTGTGGTACAGCTAGCATTGTCAGTCCTCAACAGACTTATGATCCTGAAGGACTCAATCAAGGTACAGTCAACCACCTTTCATGTTACTTTAAAAATATACAAATACATGCAGGTTTTGGAACGGTGAACACTCTCATTCAAAGGGAGATGAAATAAGTGAGGCTTGATGAACTCTATGACATACAAGGCGTCTACAGTTGAGTTGATGAAAGAATGGACACAGGTAGTGGGAGCTATAATTGGCCATTTGCTCATGCATCCTTCCTCTATTGCAGGGCCTATAAGTGACAGCCATTAGTGGGAGTGATGAGGGCATGCAGAGGGAGATAGCTGCTGGGTATAATGATGAGGGAAAATCTGTGTCAATTGTTTCATTCACATTACTTACTGATGGAGCTGAGCCATTCTTGAGGAGCTGCTAATTCTGCAGCTGCTCAAGAATTTCCCAGCATTTTATGAACCCAAAGGTTCATTACTGTGTTCATAAGAACCCTCAACTGGTCCCTATCCTGAGCCAGATCAATCCAATCCATCCCATCATATATCTCAAAAATCCATTTTAATATTGTCCACCCACCCATGACTTGGTCTTCCATAGCTATAGTACTGTCAAGAATAATGATATCAGTCCTACTGTGACATGCTTGCATTGTCCATTGCATAAACATATTTCCCCTGCAGCAGATACAAATGGAACAATTGAGAACATTGTTAGAAGTGGTTCTTTCTGTGGAGTTTGTGCTGACTTTATATACTGGGAGCATTTGGGCGAAATAAGTTGTTGTGAGGGAATTGCCAATGAGCAAGGATGGGAGACGTTGAACACAGAAGCAACCTGCATTGTCATAAGTCACTACCAAGCAGTGGGTACTTGAAGACAGTGAACCGAGAAGACTTATTTTGTTGTAGCGACTTCTGAAGTGTGTAGATTATCGATGTAACTGTAGCCTAGCAATGGCTAGTGAAAAGGAACTGACAGGACTTAACAAGTGTAGTGAGAAATTGAGTGCACTAATTAACGACAGCATTATAATTACTTGTCGTTACGAGTTGTAAGAGTTCAGTAAACTAAATTAGCAATCCAAACACCATATCTGGTCACTAAATCATGACACTAGTTGAAGGCACTCTTCCAGTAAGGACAGTTTCTCCCCAGGATGCTATTTCACCTGGGTTTCCTTCAAACACAGTCAGAATACATTGTTTGTGGCACTGAAAGCCTTACATTTACCAGCAGTGAACTAAGTGGTCTCTCATGAATGCCTTATGTCCTGTGAAAGCTTAAGGCTAATTGACCTAAAGTGATATTAGCATTAGTCAGGCTTGGTGCTGATTATGATCAGGTCTAGTCCAACTCACCCCATTGTATATGGATAAAATGTGCTGTCTAGGAGTTGAGGTTTCCAGTGTGGTGAATATAAAGACTACAGTTTTGTGGGATGCCACATCATGTAGTTCAGCAAATGTGTACCACTGTCCTGGAGAAAACTGTCTACCAAATTTATGGTTTCACATCCCAGTGTACCATAAACTTCATAAAGTGTACAATTTCATACATTTTAGGAAGAAGATAAACCTTGCCCACTGGAACAAAGCATCTACACACAACCATCTCAGAAACATGGTTTGAAGATTGTGTTGGTAGTAGCCAATTATATATATCATTGCTTCAACCCTAATCTTCCACCTTTGGCCGTGAAGCTTTTGAGGAGGTTTGCTGTGGTGAGTACATGAAGATCCAGGTATATCATTTCCTATTTTTTTTTTATCTCCAGAATAGGTCATCATATGACGCAGCCTTTTCCAACATAAAATTTGGAAAAATGACAGATTATGTAGAAGTAGGGAGAAAGGAAATGAATCATGGATGATGGGAGTATCTGGCTAATTTCTGGGGTAGGGATGACTGGGTGAACATGGCTGCATCATGATCTAAGGCTGGATGGCCCAGGTTTGATTCTCATCATGGCAAGATTTTTGTCTCCTCAATGTCTCTGGCCCATCCAGTGGGTATCAGGCTCTTTCCCAGGGAGTAAAGCAGCCAAGTTGTGAAACAGGCCACTCTCCTCCATCTAATACCAAGGTCAAGAATTGTGGAGCTATATCTCCACTCCCTGGTATGTCTTCATGGCATAATATTTTACTGATTAAGCACAGGGAAGGCTATACCTAACGTGTAATGTGTTTACAGAATATGCCCAAAGCTCTGATGTCTTGTATGGGAATGAAGCCGGAAGTCGTGCGTCACACATTCATTGCTCGTCTTAACTCGGATATTGAAAGTCCTGCCCTCAAGGTTGCCATCCTGGAATTAGTGACATCCTGCGTAGAACACCAGCCTGCACTTGCAGATGCATTTCTGAATGTTCACTATCCTGCAGAGTCAAAGCGTATGTTCCAGAAGAAACAGAAGAAAGATGATGTGGAAGGTGGATGCCTTATTTTTGCCTGCTCGGTTCTCAATAACATCGAAAAGGTAATGAAACTTGATTTGTGTATTCTTGTTTATTAACTTAATGTTTGCCACTGACCCCATTGGAAATTGTCCACCTTGTGATAGCAGTGTGACAGTGTGGTCATCTCTCATGCTGCTTAATCAGGAAATGCCTGTTCAGTTTTGTTTCACCACATTGGCAGTCTGTCTCCGAGGAGGAGGCTTGTCATTAAGAAGTTTATAGTTTCTCAGCTATTCAAGAAGTTTCGTGCATTGTATGGAGCCCTGAAGGTTCAATACTATATTCATATGAGCCTGTCCTAGGTCCTTATCCTGTAGCAGAAGAATCCATTTGACGCCATTACAGCCTGTTTAACATCATTTTCATTATTATTCTGCCATATATACCTAGATACTGACATGCGCATCTCCTTCCACATTGCTCATCTCTCCCACATATGCTACATTCCTCACCCATCTTAATGTACTTTATTTCAACACCTGAATAATATTTGGAGAATTTTATAAATTACAATGCAATTTATCATGCATTTTTCTCTAGGCTCCTATTACATCTCTTCTAGATCCGGATATACTACTGAGCTCCCTATTCTCATATGCTTTATATTTATATAGGATTGGAGGTTCTGACAGCGATGGTTATGAAGAGTTCTGTCTTGTGGGATATAACACCACGTAGTCCATTGGAAGTCAGCTGACATTTCAGAGAAACAAGCAGAGCTCTGCTTACCATCTGCTTCACACTGGTTTCTTGCCTGACTTATTCTTCAACCATGAAGATGGAAATGACATGTTCCTCTCAAACATCAGTTGACTTTCAGCAGACTGCATGCTGTTATATCCCAGAAGATAGAACTCTACATTCCATTTATGTTCTTGCCCGAGATTCAGATACCAAGTTTCCTACCCATAAACAAGGAGCAACTTCAAGTTTTAACACGTCTGGCTTGTGTTCAGAAAGCGACAGGTTCAGATTTCAGTGAGATCATCAGCTGACCTTACTGAGGTCTTTTATTATATTTCTTAGCTCTTCAAAGCAAGTGCCAGGGTAGGTAGTACCTCAAATTAGGCTGCAAGTACTTCCTTCCAAATTCTTTCCAATTAATCATTCATTAATTATTGTACCATTTAACACTATAGTCTGAGCTACTGATAGGTCATTAAATAAACCATAAATAAATAAATACCCATAAATAGGTTTCATTGTTTGCAGTGATCCTGTAACTCTTTCTTTCACATTTTATAACCCCTGCAGTTGGCATCCTGAATCTCTGCTATACTGTTGTGACATGATAACTGAAAGAGACAGCCATTATTAGGTTACAGCACAGTAAACACGCTATGACATCAGTAAACAAGGAGCTCTTGCTATTCAATGGCCAGTAAACAATGACTAGAAGTAGTGTTCTGTGTAGGGTCCATGCTGAGATTATATAAAGAGAACTCGGTCAGTTGCATTGGAGAATTGGAGAAATGAGTTAGTTGCAAGTCAAACACCAGCCAGCATGGACAGGAACCATTGAGCACAGAAGCAGTAAAGGGAATCAGTGTTGTCAAAAGCCACTACCATGCAGGGAGAACATGAAGACATAGCAAACTGAGGAGATTTAGTATGTTGTAGTGAATTGTAAAGGGGGTAGATTAGCAGGGGAACCATAGCCTAGCAGTGGCTCATGAAAACAGACTGGAAAGACTTAGCATGTGCTGCAGTGAGAGCATTATAATTACTTGTAGTTATGATTTGTGTTATCCATTTATCAATCCAAGTCCCATGTCTAGTGACTAATGCGTGACACTATTTAAATTCGTGGTACTATAACACTCTAAGGTAGGCCGCACACCTTTATGTGTCAAGACATGTAACAGTAAAGACACGATATCTGCGACATGACACAAAGAAAGATGCACAGTCTGAGTCATGATGCTGATGTCATGACTCAGACCGGTGTGCGGCGGTTTTCATAATCCCATTCATTTCAACTGTGCTCCTTTCTTTGCATCATATCTTGACTGTTACATGTCTTGACACATGCCGGTGTGCAGCCTACCTTATACTGTTTAATTGTAATTCTCCTTGTACATTACATTTTAGTACCCCGCATTCTATGCTACTGCTGTATTATATGCAACAAAGGTGTAAGTGAACCGAGAAATTACTCTTGATGTTCTGCACATTCTGCTCTGGCATTTGAAAATTCAGATGGCTGCAATATAAGTATGGTCAGGCAATCTCCATGCCTTTAAATAGGACATAAACAATTTTTGGCCTTAAAATGTGAGAATTAAGGAAATTATATCAGTTGAAAGAGAGCACTGACCTTCTTTATAGAAGGTCTCAGGTTTGAGATGGCCCAGATATTGTGCAGCTTTTTTTGTACATGTCTTTCCCTTCCCCTACTTTGTGGCATGCCAGGTCCCCCACCACAAAGAGCAATGAAAATTGCACCTCCTATGTTCTCACATCAGAAATGTGGGTTCCTGCAGTCACCCTAATGAGCAAGCTGGCTGAGGCAGTATTGCTTCTGACTGGTGCTTTGTTCATATTTGAGCCAGACACAGACTATCCCCAACTGGTTTTCATGGTTTTCCTCAGTCCCTCCATGCTAATTCGAGGATAATACAATTCAGTGATATATAGTATTAGCTATTGACAGTATTATGACATAAACCATAACTATTGTAACTGAATAAATAAATATATTTATTCTAGCCGGGCAGTCAGAAGCCTGTATAGTTGGATATAAGTCACAATAGCTTATTTTACAATTTTACAAATACTGCATTTGAGTAGTTAACGTTCTTCCTTTGTGTTCAAGAGATCCTGAATTCCATTCTCAACCCAGATACTGGCTACCGTGAGCAACTTTTTTTTTTTCTGATTATCCTCAGTTCCTCCAAGAAATTGTTGGGATAATACCTGCAAGTATGCCAGACCACTTCCTTCCATGCCTCTTCCAATTCATTCATGGACCATTCTGTCTTTCAGTGCTCTATGATATTAGCAATCAGAAGTTCAATTAAATAAACCAAAAAAAAAAACATCAAATCTAATGAAAATATTTCATTTGTGTAACTCCTTGAATTTGAGTATTCTGTAATCTTTTGCAGGACCCTGATGTGGTCACTAGCCCTGTGTATCAGGCTTTGATGAACCTTATTCATGCTCTATGGACTGGGCACAAGGAACTAGTTCTCAACTTCTTACGAAGCAGAAGTGACTTTTGGAATGGTTTCTGTGCACCACTCTTCCAGAAAACAAGGTGAGTTATTAAAGTTTATTACTTCTTGATTCTTGGGCCCAGCCAAGTTCCAAATTAGAGATGAAACCCCAGTTTAGGTTTGTGGTATGGTAAGGTGCTTGTTGGTCAGGTCTGTCTGATGACTATGAGACTCTTGTATCTCTTAAAGTGAAACCTTTTTCTTTTGTAGTAGCTAGAATAATCATATGAGTAAGGTGGAGCCCCTCATCTTGTTCTTAGTGAAAAAATTACATGTCCAACTCACCCAGAATAAAATGCATGGAGAAAGACAGTGTTAAAACCAGCTGTTCCGTATTACCCTTGCACTATGTCTAATGGTCAAAACAGATTGAAACTTGCAGTGGTTGAGGTAAAATATTATATTGTGACATGATTTAATTATCCTTTGCTTGGTAACAGCTTGATAAACATATTCATGGCAACATGCAACAATAGGGGAACTCTTGGAAACAGTGCTTGCTCTTCAGTCAGACCTGAAGTTATGTAGCAAGTTGCTGTCAGCAGTTGGAGAAGCAGTAGTAGTTGACAGCCAGTAGAACCAGGGAGTAGTGAATGATGGCTAGTGATGTCATAAGTTAGTTGTGAGACAGTCATCAACTGGTAAGGATGTAAAGAGAGGACATTGTTGGGATTCATAACCAGGAAAGAGCTAATGTAGACATAGAAGACTTAGCTTGTGCTGTAGTGAGAAGTAGAATATACAGACTAGTTAGAGTGTTATAATTACTTGTAGTTATGATTTGTAAGTGTTCAATATATGGTCTGTTAAAAAAGTTTTGGAATTTTGAAAGAGTGCACCAGCTCAATGTCTTAGCAGTGTCGGGTTAGTGGTGTGCTTCATAACTATCATCCTTTTGTCACATTATTCTCCTGTGATTAGTCATCATCCTAGAGCTGTTTGTTCACATGTGTGTAGAGTGTGTCTTACGATTCATGAGCAGCATATTAACATTAAATTTCTCTTCAAACTAGAAGAAACGTTTATGGAGACTCATGGTTTCTTCAGCCACCCTACTCACCTGACCTGGCTCTGGCAAACTTTTTCTTATTTCCCAAACTGAAGTCCACTTTGAATGAACGACAATTTCAGACAATTCAAGAGCTTATGGAAAATTCGCAGATGGGAGTTTGGCGCGGCGTAGCAGGACTGTTTCCAGAAGTCGTACCTGTGTTGAGAGCGGTGCATCAATGCAGGAAGGGAGTACTTTGAAGGCAGTAAGGCTCACTCAGTCACAGGCATGTCCAAAAAAAATTTATAAAGAATAGTTCCGAAACTTTTTGAACAGACCACGTAAATCCAATTACCAATCCAAACCCTGTGTATAGTCACTAACACGTTACAACATAATCACCTGTTTCTGGTATGAAAACTTGAAACACACAGCAATCAGAACTTACTTTTGAAATTATCTTCAGATTCAATTAATAGCTGAAATTCTTCTCTTTTCCCCGCAGCTATAATGCTCAAGGTTATTCCCAGGTTTTTGATATTATCAGCTTGGACTTGTTTTGGTATGGTGGAAAAGTTGATGCTAAGTTGGAAGTAATGTTGACAAGATTCTTCAAAGAGAATGACTATCTTCGAACATGGTCTAAGGTGAGTCCCTTGCTATATTTGCTTTGCGCAGCTTCGTGTAGTCAAGACATTCATATCATGGGAGAAAGGACAACGCTTTTTATGCATGCTTCCCACACATTTTATGAAGTGAATTCAGTCTTGTATGTCCACAAGTTTTATTTCACAGATTATATAATGGATTATAAAAAAAAATTGTAGGGGAGGTGTACACTAAAAGTTGTTACGAAAATCTCATTTTGACCTGTAGCAATCCATTAGATCCTTTTATTTACAGGTAGCATAAATGAAGCTATCAAATTTAATTGTAGAAGTGCCAAGTATAAAAAATTATCTGTACAAAAATTGCTATTACTGACAGTAAGTGACATTTATTGGGATTTTATTTGAAGTCAAGAAACATTTAGTGGGAATTTCTTACCTATATTTTTATCTGTAATTAACCTATGAGAGAAGAGTAGCTGTGACAACAAAACTTGCTGGCTTGGTGCTGTAGTAACTGAAACTGATATTCTGGAGTTAAAAAATGTCTTTCTATTGGTATGTAAAAAATTAATATAGATCTAATTCATGTATCTCGTTCTGATTTATAAATTTTACTTGATATATTTTTCATTGTTCAATGAAATATGAAGAAGAGATATGCTTATATTAAATATATTGTGCCATGACACCTGAAGGTCGGAACAGTGGAGCCAGAGGAGACGTTCATTGCTGGGCAACAGCTCAGTAAACAAGTTTCCACTGCAATGGATACAAAGCAACAATAGAGGAATTGTTGAGAACGATGTTTTATATTTGGTTTGTGCAAAGTGGTTATAAAGAAGAGTTCAGTTCAGGATCTGCAGACGAGGTACTTAGTTCCAAGTGAACAGTTAGTCGAGAGTTGGCCCCTGCCAGGAAGGCTGAGAAGATGGCGCTATGAATTCAGGTGGCGGTCGGCTGCGAAGAGAAGACTTTACATGTGCTGTAGTGTAGTGATATTTGGAATGTGTAATTCAGTGAGACTCTTATACAAGGGGTGTTCAAGTTCTAAGGTCTCCGATTTTTTTTCTCAGGACCGGAAGCAGATAGACACATGCGGTTTAGTTTAAAATACGTGTGCACTCTTTGTGAATGCGTGACAGAGATGGCAGCACTGTATGGCACACAGAACTCTAGTGGTGGCGGCGAGGGTGAGGAGTATTTTTGATACCTAAAATGGCGACGTTTTCGTTACAAGAACAGTGAGTAATCATTCGTTTTCTCCACTTGCGTGGTGCGACACCCATTGAAATTCATCGCCACTTGAGTGAGACATGTGGTAATGGTGTCATGAATGTGAAAAATGTGCGTTTGTGGTTGCAACAGTTCAAAGAAGGCCGAACGTCGTGTGACAACGAACCAAAACAATCTCGGCCCTGCACCAGCCGGTCTGACAACATGGTCGAGCAAGTTGAGAAAGTTGATGGTGGCCGTGTTTTGGGACAGCAATGGTGTCATCCTCACTCATTGCGTTCCAAAGGGCACTATGGTGACAGGTGCATCCTACCAAGATGTTTTGAAGAACAAGCTTCTTCCAGCACTGCGAGAAAAAGGCCAGAAAGGCTGCACGTGTGCTCTTTCACCAGGGCAATGCACCAGCATAATCGGACGTATGTGACGCAGCACTTTCTTTGTGAAAACAACCTTGAAGTGGTTTCTCATGCTCCCTACTCACCTGACCTGGCTCCTAGCGATTTTTGGCTTTTCCCAACAATGAAAGACACTCTCCATGGTCGCACATTCACCAGTCGTGCCACTATTGCATCAGCGATTTCCAGTGGTCAAAACAGACTCCTACAGAAGCGTTCGCAGTAGCCATGGAATCATGGCATAGATGTTGTGAGAAATGTGTATGACTGAAGGGAGATTACGTTGAAAGTGACAGAAGTTTCAAATTTTTTGTATGATTATTATGTGAGAAAAAAATCTGAGACCTTAGAACTTGAACGCGCCATGTAGTTCCTGTGTTAAGATCTGTTGCCATGAGACGGACTGTGGGGGCTGTAATAGAGTGAGGACACCAGTATGTTTAACAGTGAACTGCAGAGTGTGGATATAGCGATAGTGTTACAGTTGTTTGTAGTAGGACCAGCAAGTGATCAATAAATCCAGTAATCCAAAACCCTGTCTATATTCATGCACCCCTAAAATTGTGAGTGTTGTGTGTACTTGCCTTTATGTGGGTTGATAGACAAAATGTTGTCAGTCTCTTATTTCTTCCTAAAATCTCTGCCTTTCATTTTTTTTGCCAACTCTTTTATGTCTTCCAGTGCCTGTCTTAACCCTCTTTTTTTTTTTAGCATCTGTTTTGTTTAAAATTTCCATCAGTATATCTGTATCTGAAACAAGGTAACACAAAGACCATTGACATGTGTATAATCACAAAGTGTGCACTTTGAAGATAATCCTTTCCAGTCTTACATATACAGATTCTTCATCATGTTCCCCTTGTACATTATTTGTATGTGGAAATTTCATGGAGCATGATCACTTCAAAGATTGAAGGAAAAAATGGGAGAATATCATTAAGGTGGATCTTAAGGAGATATGTAGATTGTGAGATTGTGAAAGTAAGGAGTAGATAGAACTGGCTCCGCATCATGTCCTTTTGCAGAATTTACTGTTAATTGTATATGTTCTACTTCCAGAGTTACTTAATGGAATTTAGAATGTTCTTATGAACATCTAGATGATCAAAATTAGCAAAAGAAATATACAAGGGCTATTTGAAAAGTAATCTCCAGTGAGCTGTTAACAAAACAAGCAATGAAGAAGAAAAAAGTTATGTACAAAAAGTACATATATACTTAAGCTATGTCTTAATGTAGTCACCACTGAAATCGAGGCACTTGTTGTATTGGGAATAAGCTTTTGTATGCCTGTGTCAAAGAAATAATTCACCTATGTGCTCAGCCATGTTTTGTATTGCAAAACACTAAAAAAATTATGTAGGGCCATTCAGAACAAAAGATGTGGAATGCTGGCATCCTGTGTAGTTCTCCTCCATGACAATGTATGTCTGTATACAGTTGCACTGGAGCATTTCTACTTGGTGTTGTTTGACCACCCTCCTTACAGCCCTGATCCGCTCCAAGCGACTACCACTTGTTTACCTACCTGAAGAACTGGTTGGGATCACAGAGCTTCAGCAATAATGAGTAGTTGATGGAAGGTGTAAAAATATGGCTGTTCTCACAGGCAGCAGACTTCTGTGACACAGGCATACAAAAACTTATTCCCCAATATGACAAGTGCCTCAATTCTGGCAGTGACTATGTTGAGAAGTAGCTTAAGTATGTACGTATTTTTTATACAATAAAAATATTTCTCATTGCTTGTTTTGTTAAGAGTTTACAGAGGTTACTTTCCGAATAGCCCTCCTAAAGTAGCAGTGCTGCTTCATGCAATCTTTTTGTACAGTTTGTTGTAGAGTCACTTACTGTGAAGGAACAGCTGATGGAGGTGTCTGGTGAAGAAAAATATCCACAAAATATAGCATTGGCAACTGCCTGGAAGAACTTTCTGATAGTTGCAATGAAGCACTTGCCATTTGAATTAACACCAGAACATAAATACTTTTTAGCAGATGATGCCCGCAGAGCACTAATTCAGGAACTGGAGGAAATGGGAAGCATGAAATCGATTGTTCTCCTAGCTGAGCTCTGCTTAATACTCACTACAAAGTGGGGAAGGTATGACTATGTTGCTTTGTGTCCATTTTGACAGCTTACACAATTATGAAATGTGAATGGTATTAGTACCTACATTTTGGTAAGCATAACATTGTTCAAACTGTGAAATTTATATGGGTTCTTTGCATTAAATGCATAATGTAAACACATAATGCGGAAATTACGTGTCCATCTGCAGATCTTATCCCTGAAACCACATAATAGGTTTTTATGGAACTTGGTATTGAGTAGTGAGCTCTTGTGAGTGTGGTAATGAACTTTTGGGTTCCATAAAAAGTGACGGAATTCCTGGAGTAGTCAGGTTACACTAATCGCTTGTTTTATCCGTCACAACACAGCTTTCAAAATCTCATTTACATCAACTGTGTATAACGAGTTTATTGATTTCAATGCTGTTCTGCTACATGTTTTGGCTTATGAAAAGTCATCATCAGGCAGATATACACTAATTACAGTTACTTTCTAAAGAAGGACTCTGGTCTGTAGATTTAGTTAGTTCTTTTGTTAATATTTCAGAGCCTACACTGAAATATGATGAGTAAATCTAATTTTGACCTCTGTGAGTCCAGTATAATCCCTTCTTCACATGAAATTTAAATCACACATAATTATTATCTTCAATAATGGCTCTTCATGTAAAAAATTGATATATAGCATGAAAATGAATTGACATAGTTCATTATAATGATAGGCTATGGGCTGGATGGCCCAGGATCAGGGCTCCAATCCTGTCAGGGGCAAGAGATTTTTCTCTTCTCCACAGCAACCAGGCCAGATTCTGGGGGCCAACCAACCCCATATCCAGGGAATACTGGATGCTCTTACCCAGGGAATAAACAGTCAAGCCATGATTTGCCACACACCTCCCTATGTGGTACCGAGGTTAAGAATATGTGGATCTGTACCTTCATTCCCTTATACATGGAGTGGTTTCTGATTAATTAAGCACAGAGAAAACTGTACCATATGCATGGTGTAAAATGTCTATTTCATTAAGGCCTGCAACTTTCATTTGAAACCTCTTCAATATGATACATTTTAGATAAAGTGTGTAGGAAAAAATAACTGTTCAGTTCAGTATGTGTAGTGTAATTAGTTTTACAACAGTATATTTTAGGCATGTGCAAGTTTCGAATTTTTATGACTGAATCCAGAGGAAAACTATCTCCATCTTGATTCCAGCATTAATTTCTCACTATTAAAATCTGAGCATTTTCAGATAATTGCTTTTGCTTTGTGCAGTAACACAAGAACTACCTGATCCTTAACACTTTGCAGACCGCGCGCCCTTTAAATGATTTTTCGCTTTTAAACGTGGCGGACCGGTGGCATATTATTATGACTTTAGGACACGTTATGTTGTAACACACTATACCTTGCTCTGGCGCCAGACAACTGCAATGAATACTGCATAATAAATCTTCAGAATGTATGCTAGGTATTCAGTAACTTGACCTGACTGGCTAGGGTCCCTACTCCAAAAGAAAATAAACTTTGCCCCTTCGAGCTGTTTATGTACCAGGCAGGAAGTTAACAGAGGGGAATATGTTTCAAGGTCAAAAGCGGTTGAAGGCAAGCTTTTCCGATGAGCTATCTGACATGCCTTGTGGAGGAGTAGTGATTAGTGACTCAGACAGTGGAAGTGACAGGGGTCAACAAAGAATTGTGGCCACAGATAATAAAAGTGAAAGTTACCTTGTGGCTTTAAATGGTGCCATTTTAAATTCATTTTTGGTTTACAAAAATCTAAACCCTGATTCTAAATTGAAATACGAAGCATTTCTGATGAATGTGGCAAAGGCTTGGGCTACAGACCAGATGGTGGCGGCAGAACCAAAGTCAGACATACTTAGTGCGACCTAGCCCATGAACTCCCACCCCACGCAGGCCTCATGTGGACACCCCTGGGCGACTCTCGGGGTGATATGCAGAAACATACCCTCCTGAAAATTGTGAAGAGTGAACATTCTGAGGGGAAGCATCCTTCTAGGCAATGCCGTGTTTGCGCAGTTCACAGAAAAAGGACTATGACTGTCTACATTTGAAAGTGTATAATGCCACTTCACAAAGGGGAATGTTTCCAGGAATATCACACTCTCAAGCACTTCTAGGAGCATTGGTAAGTGTTCTCCAAAAATTATAGTTCATAAAATTAATTTGGAGATTTTATATTAATTTTTAAAGTGAACAGTGCACAAGTTAGGGTAGTAGGTATAAAAATGCCGGTCCCCAGGGTAATTTAAATATTTAAATCGCCGGTCCGCAAAGTGTTAAGAATTGTAGTGGTTGGCAATATTAGCATGGATCAACTCATTAACACAATCTGTCTTCATCTCCCTCTTTCTCTTTGTAATGAAGAAAGACATGAGTGTAGAATTCTTTTTTTAATTAGTTATTTCTGAAAATGTATCTTCGAAGGAGGATGTGATATTGAAAGGGATATGTGGTACAACATAGTACATTGTGACATTGCAGCTTTATAAATTGTGATTACAGTGAAAGAAATTATGTCGTAGAGAAAATTCTCATTCTCATCTTAATTATTAAAATTCTTTCCATTCTCATCTTCATCTCATCTAGCACTGAAGAAGTTCACACATGCCTAAATAAATTTAATTCTGAAGTAAGTGAATGTCATTAACGGTGAGGTAAGCAGATTCACATAACACATTTATAAAACATGTTATCCATTTTGAAGCATATCTGTCATTGGTATATTGATAATCTCTGTTGTAGGGACTCCATAGAAGATGAAAAATTGACACTTACTCAGCTGCATAAAATTCTTTATCATGTGTCACTTTCATATGATGCGTTTCATATCCGTGCCAAAGAAGCTAGCCTTGCATTGGCATTACGTCTGGTCCACCTGCTTCGTCATGGAATTCGGGAGGGTACGTTGAACATTAGTGTAATATTTTTCAAAATAATGTTCCGACATGATCTTACGTATCAAGGCCCATCTGATTTACAATGCCTTTTTGAAATATAATAATTTTTTGCTTTGTTTCCATAGTCATTTTCAATATAAAGAAGGAGTATTCAAAGCAACATTTTTAGATATACAAGGTGGTTCAAAAATGACTGGGACTTGATTTTTTTTTTAAAAAACATAATTGCCAAACACTTACTTGCATATGTCAGTCGTCAACATACTCCCCTCCGGAGCAAACACATTCTTTCCAAAGTTCTGGAAGCATCCTGATGCCCTTTTCAAAAAAGGCTTGTGGTTGGCGGCGTATCCACTCCCGAACAGTCTGGATGACGGCGTTGTCCACAAACTGCATGCCTTGCAAGTCTGATTTGAGCCATCCGAACAGGTAGAAATCACTTCAGACCAAATCGGGACTGTATGACGGATGTGTCACAAGGTTCCATTTCAATTTCTGGAGGGTTTCCATTTTTGTTTTTGCCATACATGGTGTGTTCAAAAAGTATCGAACCTTTGGTCAGCAGAAATACATTTATTGATTTGGAGGTACAAAACCCTAATCCCCTTCAAAGTAGTCTCCTTGGTAATGCACACACTTCACCCAGTACTTCCACCATTGTTGGAAACACTTCTGGAACACGTCTTTTGGAATGGTGATAAGCCGGGCCGTCGCATTCCGCATGATGTCTTCTCTTGACTCAAATCAGGTTCCTTTCTGCAGCATTTTCAGCTTGGGAAATAGCCAAAAGTCACATAGAGCCATGTGGGGGGAGTAGGGAGCCTGACGAACCACAGGGATGTTGTGTTTGGCGACGAAAGTCTGAATCAGATGCATAGAATGGACAGATGCATTATCATGATGGAGCTGCCAAGTTTTTCCTGCCCACAGATCTGGTCGTTCACACCACACAGCATCACAAAGGCGTCGAAGGACCTCCTGGTAGTATTCCTTTGTGATGGTTTGGCCTTGTGGTGCGAACTCATGATGCACAACCCCATGGGAGTCGAAGAAAACGGCCAACATGACCTTGACATTGCTGCGGACCTGCCATGCTTTTTTTTGGCGTCGGGAATGTTTGATGTTTCCACTGTGATGACTGCATCTTGGTTTCCGGGTCGTACCCATAAACCCACAACTCATCGCCTGTGATCACGGTGTTCAGAAAGTTGGGGTTACTGTTTGCATTGTCCAGCATGTCCTGTGCAATTTCCAGACGGCGTTGCTTCTGCTCCATTGTTAGCAGTTTCGGTACGAATTTCGCAGACACTCTCCTCATGCCCAAATCCTCGGTCAAAATTGAATGTACCGATCCAATACTTACCCCTATCTCGTTCACAAGTTCTCGGACTGTGATACGACGGTCCTCCATGACCAAAATCCACACTTGCTCAATGACATTCTCATTTCAGCTTGTTGAGGGTCTGCCTGATCGCAGTTCACTGTCAACTGATGTGCGGCCATCTTTGAAGCGGTTGTACCACTCCTTTATCCGTGAGTTGCTCATGGCATCATCCCCGAAAACCTGTTGAATCTTGCGAATGGTTTCCACTTGGGTATCGCCAAGCTTTTGGCAAAATTTGACTGCTCATGTTGTTCCGTCAGTTTACACCTTACTGGAATCCGACAAGCGCTCACTACACGTCCTCACTCATAGGCCGACTGCCAGCGACTCACGCTTTCTGCCGGCAGGAAAAAATTCGCGACTGCGCATGAATGTCCCCTCCACATCTCCACCGAAGGGAGCCTCCCGCGCTTCATTGGTTTACATGGGAAAAAAGAAGGTTCGATACTTTTTGAACACACCACGTATGTGGGCGTGCATTGTCTTGAAGGAAGGCTACCCGCTTTCCACCTGTCTTCCACTTGGATTGGAACTTTTCCTTCACGTCTGTTGCCAGGAGGTCTGAGTAATAAGCTGCATTGACTGTTCTGGCATCTATCAGAAAGTCAACATGGATAACACCCTGCCAGTCCCAGAAGAATGTTGCCATCACTTTTCCTGCCAAACGGCTTCAGTTCTTGGACCTGATGTTGTATATGACGGCGTAATATAGTAGTGTTGTATATGACGGTGTAATGTAGTAGAAATCATTAAGATAACAGGTATATGGTGGATAAATAATTACAAGGGTTTTGGTTCATAAGTAACATTTTATTAAATCCACATGTAATACTTATTGAGAATTGTGAAACGGAACAGCACAGGCTTGTCACATACTGTAACTCGACTTTCACCGATGTTATCTGCCAGAGGGCAAACAAGACTTATTTTGAACTAAAGGAAGCAAATAAGAATAGTCACGTAGCTTCACAGAGAAACTGGAAAACATCAGTCAAAGTCCGAGAAAGCAAGCCAAGGTCCTAGAAGACCCACCATATGAAATAACAATAGAATGTTCTAGAACATCCCTATCTGATGAAACTTGTATCTTCCAGGGAAGCTTTAACGCAACCCCCACCCCTACAGACAGGGCTATAAGAACCCTGACCCAAACCATCCAAAACGCTTTCTAATCTGATCACGAAGTTTAGTCTGTAGGACGGTACTTTGTCAGTTAGGAGTCGGCCACTGCTCAAGCCTTAAGCAGATTTGCTGTTGTTACATTTGTACAATTATTTACTGTGTAATAAACTCTCTTGAATCTTAGCATCTTCCAGCAGTTCATCTCACCAAACAACGGACGACGTTAGCCGCTCAACCGACTCCGTCCAGACCAACCCACAGGTACAAGTATCCACTCTGTCGCCCGACATTGTGGTATACGACACTGAGACTGGGTACACAGGCTAAGGCTCTTGTTGTTTTCTTCAGTCCTTCTAGGCAGTTGTTGGGATAGTGCCTTAAAATAGGCCAAGACTGCTTCCTTTCATGTATTTCCCAGTTCATTATTCACATTCATCCTTTCATCTGATTCTTCATGGCTTTAAAGACTGTTGTTAAATAAATTTTGAAAAACATTCTTTGTGGAGGTTTGAAGATACTTAATGTGGTGTCATTGTTGTTTTATTTTATTCCACCATGCACAGTCTTTTGTCCATTTAGCTTCTGCTCTTCTGGCAGAACTTCAGAAGTCCACATTTAAAAGTTCTTGTTGGTAGTGTTGGCAGTAACACTGAAGATAGCTGAAGCAAGGTTTCAGGGTTCAAACAAAGAAATCTGGACAAGATTCTAACCTAAGATCATCAACAGAGAAGGACTCTTAAATTTTATTTTTATGATGTTTCAGATAGCATCACAGCAGACTGTCTAATGCAAGCAAGCTGTCAGATCGTAGGCATCGAAGTGTACAACTTGCCGTGTATACCCAGGCTTGATGACTGCGTGCAGTCCGGAGAGCAAACGCAACAAGAATGTAAATCTGAAGAAATGGAAGATGAGAAGGGTCAAGAGAAGGAAGTCACCCCATGTGGTCACATGACTTGCACACTGAGCCTGTGTCTGATGCAGAAATTGCTTAATATACTGACCTGGAGTGATGGATGGCAGGGTAACTTCAGACAGTGTAAAGTGGTCAGCAAGGTCCTTGCAGCTGTGGGCCACATCCTCCATGTAATTAGAGATTAATACTTTGACCCTTATTGTTATCTCATATTTTTTCCTGTGAAGGTGTGGGGTCCCAGTCTAACAAACTGTCATATACACCTGAATGTATATACATGCATGCACACGGACAGGTGCTTGCACATATGCACACACATGCATATGTATCGTGTGAACACAGCACCGCAGTAATATGCAGTTCCATTAAACACTTTCTGAGGAATAGAGAGGTCTTTCACATGCATTTACATTATGAATAAATATGAATTTGGTTTGCTCTTTACAGATGCCTGGGCAATTCAGTTTTGCTGTAACACTGATGAATGTACTTCTGGTGCTCTCTCAGACGGAGTTTTCTGAGAGTATGATTCACTCAGGTGTGATGCAGCACTTGTGGGTGCAGCTTCTTCCTCCATCGGTACCAGAAGAAGCCACTGAGCAAGTGAATTCATCAACAGTGAGTGTCCTTCTCCCAGTGTGGAGGCAGATTAGAATACCTCCCCCATAGCTCTGCAAGTCATAGAGGGTGATGAAAAGGGAACCCAGTGCCTGGGGGTATCACTGGGCAACATAAATACAGGGACCTGGTCCTCCAGGTTGGGGGTGGGATGCAAGGCTGATGACCTTGCTCTGTAAACAAATTATTGTTGCAAAATCCAAAGAAGTGAAAACTGCATGCTGTCCAGTGCCATCTTCTAAGGAAGGCTATGTCTCAAAAACTGCTGTTTTGCTGCTGCTGCTGAGGAGGAGGAGGAGGAGTAGGAGGAATGTCATTCCATTTACATGCTAAATTATAACTTCTAGTTTACCTTGGCGGCACAACTGCACTTGTGCAAGTGGTGTCCTAATAGAAAATGAGTTACAGACATGCCAGCCAATTGAGGTTAAAAGCACAAATGACTTAACTGTTGAAAGTGCAGCATTGGAAACCAACCACCAGCAACTTCCAATTTACTGAGCTACTTGGATCAGGCAGTAACACTTGTGACTTGTTCTGGTGTCTAGTTACACCTTAACGTTCAATTACAGTTCCTCATGTTCCTCAAGATCTAAGATTTTGTTTTATAAATATTTTTCTCATTTGTATATAATAACAGTTTCAGTTCTACTTCAGGCCTTACTTATGGTTTCTTTGCTAGAACCCAACTATAGTTTGAGTTCTGACCAGGTCATGTAGGTTGTAACACCGTATAGTCTTGTGGGTGGATAGTGTTGTTTCACAATAACATGCCACCTCCATTTTCAAGAACCCTGAGGATGGAGGCAGTATATTCCTTGAAAATATCAGAATCTGCCCACAAAACTACATGGTGTCGCAATCTACTCTGAACAATAACTGCATGAAAACCTCAAAACTTATAAAAGAATATGACATTTTGTTTTAAAAGTGTTGCCTTAAAGCTCAAGAAAACAACGAAATTGCTCTGAATCCTGAGATGGAATACAGAAAGCTGGGAACACGTGAATTCATACCTGTAGCCACAAGAACAACATACATTTTCATCATTCCTTTTTTTATTGTTGCATATGTTGTAGAGTCAATATAAAATTCTGTTTCATGTTACATCGTGTGGTTAAAATTAAGGTTTGAGGGTAAATAAAGTGCTCTTTTCCTTGTAATATTGTCAGAAATGTGTGACTTGACAACATATTTATATTGGCAGAGACCAAAACATTGGACAGAACTCAACTGGCCACAAGTGTACAAGCCTGCTCTGGAAATGCTTACTGTCCTGCTACAGACTAAAAAACATTTGTTTCTGGATGAAGTGATAACATTCATGGGAATTCATGAGGAACATATCATCGCATGCATCATGGACATTCGTCACTCACTGGACAAGTGGCCCTTGGATCTGGCTGTAACAGCTCTCACGTTGATTCTGGAACTATCAAAGTACAAGTACACTTGGAGACTTACTCATGAGAAGTCAATGTTTGCCATCATGGTAAGTCATCTAAACTTGTGTGAACTATGGAGATTTTATACGTACGCAGTACTGAAATACCGTGTGTCACTGTCATAGTGACAGAGATGGTTATGCAAAAATATATTATTATTAACATACTGATGACCACTGTTGCATTATTACTGATACAATTTCCTACAGTTGCTGTTTATGAATAATGTTTCTTCTGATACATGTCAGGTTTCTTTTATGTGTTATGGATTGATCTCTTCTAAGTAGTGCATATTCACAGTAGTTTTAATGTTTCCAACTCACATAGCATGCAAAACTGAGATGTTGAATCTAAGTCAAAGCAAAACATAAAAGGTTGTACAAGGTGCTATCAACAAGTTCCCAGACTAGGTCAAAAAGAACTGCTGGCTTAACTTAATTTTGGCTGCCATCTCCTTCAAAACAGTCTCCTTGGGAATGTATACAGCGATCCCATTGCTTTTTCCATGCTTCAAAGGCACTGTGGAAGTCATTTTCCTTAATACTGTAGAGTATCACTTATGATTCTCTTTGTATGTCAGGTACTGTTTCAAAATGTCTTCCCTTCAGTTTCATTTTAAATTTGGGAAACGAAGTGAAATCTCAGGGTTCTAAGTCTGGCAAGTAGGGAGGATGGGGAATTGCATTCCTTGCATGTTACAGCAAATTTTGAAATTGGGCACCAGCATGTTGAATATGCAACTGAGCGTGACAAGCATGTTTGTAGATACTGCCTGCAGCATCATGGGGAAACGTTGGTTTGTTTTCAGTTTATCTAGCTTCTGTGTCTTATTGCAGTAAGCATTGTTTTTATGTAGCTTTTTACATGACGTTGGCATTCATAACATCAGATTCGTGTTTTAAAAAGATATTGTGGCAATTGGATGAAAATATGTGTTAAGTTCTTCACAGAAATTATTGTTAATTGATTTTTAAAAATATCTTACACCAAATTAAATTCTAGATACAGTCATTCATTCACTCATGGAGCTGAGTCCTGCTTAAGAAGCCACCAATTGTGCAGCTGCTCAAGAACTGCCCAGCATTTTATGGAACCCAGAGGTTCATCACCGTGTTCACAAGAGCCCACCACTGGTCCCTATCCTGAGCCAGATCAGTCCACTCTATACCATCCAATCCTGTCTCTCTGAGATCCATTTTAATATTGTCCACCCACCTACGTCTTGCTCTTCCTAGTGGTTTTTTCCTTATGATTTTTCCGACCAATATCCCATATGCATTTCTCTTCTCCCAATTGGTGCTACATGCCCTACCCATGTCATTCTGCTTGACTTGTTCCTTATCGAAGCAGTGCAAGCAGTACTAGTAAATCAATACACCAGTACAAAAAGGAAACTACTAAGAACCAGTGCACATACTCGTATATGGTTCAGTCGAACATGTCAAAACAGAAATATTGATCATGTCCATCTGAAGATTGTCCCTCCAACTGAAAGATGTAAAGGATGAAAGATTAAGAAATACAGCATTATCGGTCACACTGAACAGCGTTAATAATCTTTTATACTTGATCATTCTAATTATACTTGGAGAAGGGAACAAGTTATGAAGCTCCTCATTATGCAGTGTTCTCCAACCTCCTGTCATTTCATCTCTCTTCAGTCCAAATATTCTCCTCAACACCTTGTTCTAATTCTAGATACACTAGTGACCTTTTGTCTTTGTCAATATGAATTTCAGAAAGCTGTGATGGTGTGTCTCAGTAGCTGTGTGTCATATCTCATTCATCCAAGATTACTGAAGATCATGGTTGAGAGGCCACCGATAGCCTCAACCCAGCATCTCAAAGCTATGGTAACAGAAGATCCAGAAATTTCACCACATCTCATTAGTATTCAGAATAGGCAAGTATCCACACAATAGGCGATCATAGAATGAATAGCTTACATTACCCAGACTGAATCTGCTGCATTTTGTGTGAGAAAGTACAAGAAAGTTCCTCCTTTGACTAAGCAGGAGTCCATACACTATTAAGTGGAGTGGACATGAATATTGTAACGTGTTTCATTACTGAATACACCGTAGAGATCGTTAATTGGTTTATTGAACAATCTACAAATATCGGCTACAATTAATTATCACAATGTTACGGGTTTCCACACTTTACAAACCCTACAACAAAATCTCTTAACACAATCTTCCAGAGTCTTCACGTATTAATAGCGCGGGAGCTATACAAGTCTCGCTGAAGTACACGCTACAAATATAACTGGTTATCACGAACTATCACTGATTCTCGCACACGCGTGTGTAGCTCGTAACTTGCGAACTGAGAACTCGTTGATAAGACACTCGCTCGTAGGCTTGCTTGGAACTAACTCGGAACTGTCTTCGGCGATGGCCCCGTTACAACTAACTCGTAGCTGCTGTGCAGTTCCCTTATATAGCCGCAGTGCTTGCCTGTTGCGTGCCACGTCACAGTAGGAATCGGTGCCACGTCATCCTGTTGCGTCACCGCGCGTTGTGCGTTACGTTACCGTGCGGAGGGGGGAGGGGAACGCTGACTCATCCGCCACGTCACTGCTTGTGGGGAGTTCTCCGTTGCTTACATTACCCAGACTGAATCTGCATGCATTTTGTGTGAGAAAGTACAAGAAAGTTCCTCCTTTGACTAAGCAGCAGTCCATACACTATTAAGTGGAGTGGACATGAATATTGATGCATTTTAAATCCCTGTCTCAACAATTTGAAGCATGAAATTCATCTAAATAATATTTACAAATTATTTTTCTACTTCACAGAAAGTACAGTTTGTCTCCATTATGAAGACCAATCACTTTGACTCTCAAGGTATTCTATTCAATGATTACAGGCTGTTGGATGTGGTGTGCTTGTGTATGGCCACCTTGATCCCGTATTCTCCCAGTGTTGTAAGTCTGCTGACTGACTTTCGAGAATGTGAGGTGGAGTGGGAACCTCTTGTGGAAATTACTTTCACAGCACCAGCATTGAGCTTCAGCAGACCTTCCCCCACAATGTCACAGGAAGTACTACCCTCGTTAACTTTCGGATCCCTGATTGCATTTGCCAATATCTGCACCTCGGCTCTTGGCAGAGTAAGTATGTACTGACAGTGGTGTATGACGCTCTGGATTATTGAGTTTTTGGACTTATTGCATCAGTCAGTATTTTAAAAAACTCAATGTTTCAGAAACTGGATCTGTTTCCATCCTCTGGTGAGGGGGTAGGGGACACCTACTCAGTTGGGTCCATTAGTAATAGCTAACTTTAATCCCTAACTCAGTTAGAGGCCTGATGTCAAGCTATTGAACCTACAGGTCATGTAAGAGATGCAATTCCTTGAGATACTATATCAGAAAGAAATATGTTGTGGTTCATTAATTTATTTGTTTTCAGCGGTGCGTTTAGAAAACAGCCCACCTTACAACAGTTCCATACTTTGCTTTTCTGCAGGGTGATTATATCTAATGATTCTCTGAATGTTTGTGACAGGGGTCATTCTATTGTATTATCATTTAATGGAGTGTCTATAGATTAGGTTTTGGTTGGAGATTCAACTTACTGACCCCTTGTGGTCCGTAACTACTGGTAATTATAACAGTCTCACGGAATTACACACTCCAAATACCACTGTAACTACAGCACACATACATTCTTCTCACTCTTCACTAGTCGTTTCCTGATAATGGATTCTAACAGTGGGGATCCCTCAGCTTCCATGCTCACACCATCCCCAGCTGACCACCGTCTCACAGCTAACTTCTAAACGTGTCTCAGTTATAACATGTCGACTCGAACCAACAGAAAACACAGCTCTACTGTTGTTGCTCAAATCAATTCCGTGGGAACATGTTTTGTATGTGAAGTTGCTACCCAATAACGGCTCTTGCACATTTGCTTATCTCACGGTCATTGCCTGGTAACGGCTCTACATGCTATAATATTATAGTTTTCTTGAACTTTTCCTATTGTCTGAAGTTTAACATCCATTGTGCTAGGTGTATTTAACATGCAAAGTGACTGATGGTTGGTGTACAAGATTAAGTAAGAATATCTGCTGTTATAATTAAGTGTAAACTGGAATACAGTCATATCTTAAAACACAGTGTTAAATGTTAGGGACGTTAGTATCGGTGTGATAAGTGATATAAAAAATATTTGGCAAAAATTTTATTTAAGTGTGTTGATATATCATGATTTCTTGGTAGTATAAAATTTCAAAAGTGATAAAAAGCAAAAACTTCTTCCAGTTTAGAAAATTTTGGTAGACATTTCAGTTGATTATTAGGAAGAGAGAAATTTATGGATAATCATGACAGTTTGGCGATCAGAATAAAAGAAATATACAGCATTATGGACAGAATAAAGTTAGGTACATGTGTTATTAAAAAACTTTAAACTAATAAAACAGTTTTATTGATATTGTCATGTCTAGGGGTTTGCATGATGAATATAACGGGTTATGGATGGGATGATTGGATTTACTGGCATTTCTGTTACTATTACAATCATCTATAACAGCTTACAATCAATGACTGTCTAAGACCGACTCCATTCCTTACTGGACTATGAGTGACTTCTCTTCTGTTGTAGCTGATTTTGTTCTGTTTTGCGAATCGGTCACTTCTTCTGCTGTGAGTGCCTGGAACGAGGAGTGTCTTACAAATGAATTGCTCTTCTCTGCATGTCTCCTTATATAGTCTAGCATGTATCCATGGATAATGTTTGTTGTTTGTGCACATCCATGGAAATTGTTTGTTTATTCCATTGACATGGAAAGTACTTTCCGCACCGAGTCGGTTTCCACAAATCTGCATCTCCATAGAACGTGTGTTAGTGAATCGTTTTATAGCAGTGGACTATTCTGGTTTTCAGCCATCATATCACAATATAAACCTCTCCAATACTCATACAACATTACCTATGAATGACATTTGTGTTAACTTACCTTATTAGGACATGGGCAGTAACCAGAATAATTACAGTTATAGTTTCTGTCTGACTGCAGACGGGCCGTACCCCTTCTCCAGGCGTTGGCAGATGTGTGACAAGTCCATTGGCAGGTGGTATGGCTGTGGCATCAGGCTTAAATGCAACATGGGTGTCAACCATGGACAAATATCGTGTAACAATGGGACTTGAGCTAAGTCTGACTCTGGTGGCATCACAAGGCATTACGCATCTTATGGACCATCACTTGTGTCAGTGGGAGAAGCAAATTATCAAACGAGAAATAGGCACTGAAATGGTATGTATGTGTGTGTCTGACAGATTGCACAGTGAGGACACTATGTTCATATGGATAACTGACAAATCAAAGAGAATGAAAGTTTTCACAGCAGGGAATATTTAGGTTGTGGTTTTCTGAGCAGGGAGTCTTAGATTGCTTCCAACATTTCAGAACAACCTGCTGCCTCCATCTCCCGCACGTGGGATGGATGTAGTGCGTATGTCTGAAACATCTGTACCACTTAGTGCCATAATGCAGAAGACCACAACTTAGAGCTAGTTAATTGTGTGAAACTGTGGAAAATTCAGGTGCATAAACTGCCTATTATGTGGCATGCATGGGAAAAGGATTGTGTCAGTTGTATGAGGAAAACTGATGGACCCCAATTTTCATGTGATTTCTCTCTTTTCCAATTTGTTCAAAATTTCCATTTTTTATTTCAAAGCCAGATAATCATGTTTTTGCTATAATTCTTGTGTGGGTAAGTGATACAACAGATTGACTGGTGAAAGATTGTGGATACTGTCGTATAATTACAAGTTAAACCAGTCTCTGCTGTAATTGTGCATCGCCATGACCAATGGCACCTGCTAGTAGACAGTGATATAAGTGGCAGCTAGGTGAACTACTCCATAGCAAGTTAACATATGTACCCATCCACTTTGTTTTTGAATAATTTTACAAAAACAGCAAATTCTCTTTGAATTTTCTTCATGTTGTGTGAGAATTCTGAATGCTTGACTGCTTAATAAATGGGAATTAACTGTACCTGGGAATGACAATAACAAATAAAATGATTCATGAACAGATACATTTCAAGAAATGTTTGCTACTATTCAGTTCAGAATCTTTCATCTTCCTGTACTATCTCTAAAATTCTGGAGATTAAAATGTGCAAGACTAGCATTTTAGTTGGTTTGTGTGGATATAAAATTGGGCCAGTGACTGTCATTGAAGAACAGAGACTGAAGATTTTTGAGAAGAAAGCTGCGAGTAAGAAAAACGAGAAAATTACATGATGTTTAACTTCATAATTTTTCTTGTTTGCCCTAATATCATTCAGTCAAGGATGATGAGGTAGATAGGGCATGTGGCATGTATGAAACAGGTGAGAAATGCTTGTAAAAGTTTAGTCCAAAAATGTTTGACATGAAGAGACAACTTGAGAGACCTGGGCATAAGTGGGAGGATAATATTAGATTGAATGTTAGGAAAGTAGGTGGTTAGGGTGAATTGAATCACTATGGCTCCTATTCAGTGACAGTTTTTTTGTGAACACCAATTATAAAAAAAATAGTAATAATTGTTTTGCTACTTAAGAAGACTGTCTTTTGTAGTGCCTGGGGCATGCAGTAGCGTAGTTGGTTGATGCTACAAACCGGAAGGTCACGGGTTCGAGTCCCAATGAGGTGGATTTTTTTTCAATTGACCTAATCCTTCCAGCCACACTATGGCCGTGGGGTGGAATGAGCATCTAACAGAAATGAGTACCAGGAATCTTCCTGGGGGTAAAGGGCGGCGGGTGCATAAGGCTTACAACCTTACTGCCATCTGTGAGCCAGTTGTCTAGATAATATGGATCCTCAACGTATCACAACCCTATGGGTCTCCATGGCCTATTGCAGGGATAGCTTTATCTTTTTTTTTTTTTTTGTAGTGTCTGTCTAGTTACACTGCACACAAAGTACATTATTACATACATTTTCTTACAGGCCCTTTTCTTGGACTATGCAAAACGCAACCTACGTAACATTCGAGATGGCACTGAAAGTAGCCGCAGTTTTACTGGTGAGGGAATCAGTTGGAGCCGGTTTCCAGGATCAGCAGCAGCAATGGTTCTCTCTAAGCGGCCATACAGTGCAAGTTCACTTCCTGTAGTTCGACGTCTGTGGCGTGATTCGCCATCCAAGGAGACCGATAACCCAAAGACTCTTGATACTGCACATGACACTGAACACTCAAATTTTGAACTGGATAATGTTTTTTCAAGGCAAGCAGGAAGCAGCTTTGAAGTGGATTCAAGATCCATTCCACATGACAGTGGTAGGCAGGAATCCAGTCATGGTACTGCAGACCACAATATTAGGCTTAGTGCTGGCTTTCAAGTATCCGAACAAGCATGGCAATCAGTGCGACAGGCAGAAGGAACTCAAGATTCAGGACCACAGAAAGAATTAGATTCAGTGACGTCTGCACTAAGTACTGAGGTGGGTCCAAAAGAGAAAAGCACCAATGTGGAGGCAAGTCAGACACTGATATTCAAACCAAAAGTCATCCATTCTGATCATAATGTGAAACATCAACCTCAGTCTGAGCCTTCAAGTAGTAAACGTAGCTGGTCTTCCGCAATAGGTGTTCCAGATACAAAGACTGCTGCTAGTAAGGCTCCCAGGAGTCCTCAGCCTTCGCAGTCAGATGATGCTATAGAAAATGTTGCTTCTCAGTTTGGTTATAGTGAAGATTATTTTAGATTAATGGCTCATATTTTTAATTGCATCTTTCGATGAGATAAAACTATGTGATGCTTGAGTTTCATTTGCATTGGACAAGGAATATATTGTCAATAAATTAAGACCTGCCTGGATGTTCATCAGCTTCCCTGCATCCCAGCTACTTTTGCCAAAGGGACTTCTGTCTCTTTCATAAAGAAATAGTCACACTAATCTTATTTTATTTTTATTACATCTGTACCTTGTTATTTTTCTTATTTCCCTTCTTATGGTCATTGCGGGGGCACACGGTAGCATAGTTGGTTTAGGCACTATGCTGCAAGCCGGAAGGTCACAGGTTCAAGTCCCGATGAGGTCACTGGATTGTTTTCAAATGACCTTATCCATCAGGCCGCACTATGGCCCTGGGGTCTACTCAGCCTCTAACAGAAATGAGTGCCAGGAATTAATTAAATAATTTTCCTGGGGAGTAAAGCGTGGCCAGCGCATAAGGCTGACAACCTTACCGCCATCTTTGAGCCGATTGTCTAGTTACTGTGGGGTCCTCAACATCTCACAACCCTATGGGCCTTCACGGCCTGTTACAGGTATAGCTTTACTTTTTACTTTTACTTATGGTCATTGCTACAGATTGTTACTAAAAATTTCAGTGATACAAGCAATACTTCTGTGCCAAAATAAGAAGCATAAAATGATTAAAATAAAATATATGGGATTATACTGCCATTTTTAACTTGTGCCTATATATGGATTACTTAAGTCTCAACATCAGACCTTCCGTATGGTGTGGAACAAGCAAAATTGGCCTCTTCAGGCTGACTGTTTCGTTTGCATTTGCCCATAGTCACTTGCTATATCCAGACTGGCTCTGGGGTTCACCCAGCCTCCAATCCAGTGGGTACTGGGAGCTCTTTCCCTGGGGGTAAATCAGCCAGGGCGCAAAGCTGCCCCCTCACCTCCAACTAGCACCGAGGTCAAGAAAATGTGGATCTATACATCCACTCCCCCAAACACCCTCATGGCATAGTGCTTAATTAGTTAAGCACATGGACAACTTTACCTTTTCAACTTACTGTGAATTAGTAGTGAACATTTATTTGTGGCCAATTTCATGATGCTGTCAGTTGGTCAAATTATATAGAGATTTTCAGTTTATTTTTATTTTATTACCAAAATAAACATTTTAATTTTATTTGCTAAGTAATTCAGAAATTTTGGTGCTAAGAAACTGATTTAAAATGTGATTTGAATTGGTTTCAATGTATAAAACGTGGTTTTTGTAAAAAGGCTGGGGCATTATGTGAGAAGTCACTGACAATGTAATTGTACCTGGAATTTATCAGTAGAGCATCTGATGTGATTGGCAGTTCCCATAACACACACACATTGTGCTAACCTTCTGGTTCTCGAGATGTGAGCCAGAGTTCTTGCCGTGAAGTTAAGAGTAAGTGATCATCATTACAGTGCAGGCTCAGGGTTGGCCTGTGGTGTAAATACCAATAGCATACTGCAGTAGATTATTAACCGTGTTCATCATTTTCCCTTTAAACTTTCCAATTTTTCAAAATTCTTCCCAAATTATCCAAAATTTCAATTTTATCTTGTGTTGCATTGTCCCTCCTTTTCAAATATTATCTTTCTGTATTCTATATAAAGTAATTGGACTATGGTAACTGAAACATGGAGTAACTAACATCAGTATTAGAGGAAATACAGTCATATGAAGCCTGTCCAAAGATCCAAAAGAACCTAACTTGCCTCTTAATGATAATTAACTTAGGGACACAGATTACCATTGCTTTCAAGCTGTTGTGTATGCAAGAATTTTAATTTGTGTTGAAAGTTAAAAATTATCATGAATTAACAGAAATTTCTATTGAACTTCAAAGCTGACAGTTATCAAGTGCTGCCACAAGGTATTCTGATGAATAATATTAAAGTCACAATCATATTTTCTTCCTCTATTTTGACGCTACAACTCACGTAGAGTTTTGGTCGTCTCAACCGCACCATTCTACTTTGTCCTCTCCTGGACTGTTATCTTTCAGTTTGGTACCTTCATCTTCTTAATGTCAGCTTTAACATCTTCCTCCCATCATATTTTTGGTCGGCCCACAGCTCTTGTACTTAATGGTTTCCATGAGTACAGGCTCTTAATTGATCTATTGGTTGGCATTTGCTCTACATGGCCAATGCATGAGAGTCTTTTTGTATGTATATAATTGATTATATTGTCACGTGTTGGTTATGTAATGCGACAAATAATTTCACGCCGTTTTGGATTAGCGAATTTATTGCACACTCGCTCTTACAGTTACACAATTCACAATTTCTCAGTTTCTGGCATCGGCAGTTTCACCATTACTTCTGCTGGAGTCACTGCCATTCACTCGATACAACTTAACTCGTAGCTGCTGGACTTCAACTCATACTGAATGCTAGTAACTCTCTCTCTAGTAACTGGCTCAATACTCACTACTCAGTCATCCTGAATAGTGTTCGCTGCTCCTTATTTAGGCTCGGGATGGACAACATAGAGAACACATTGCTGCTCAGCAACAGATGTCAGGTATTGTTGTCATGTGTTTATGCTTAAGCATTGCATAGCAATAGTTGCTGCATGGACTTGCCTGTTGCGTGACATTACAGCCTAGCAGGGAGGGGTGTTTACCGAGCATTGCATAATGATGGAAGGAGTGGGGGTACGTGACATCACTTGTGGAAACGCAGAGTTCACATGACCCCTACTTCCTGTTGCGCCATCCACATTACAATATTTTTATAGTTTATTAACTGAATTATTTATTGATCTGTTTTCATTCTCCAGCTATCATTTTTCGTTACTGGAACAAAAATTTTTCTTAGAATTTTCCTCTCAGAAACTAGCAATTTATTGATTTCACTTCTTTTCAGTACCCAGGTTTCACAGGCATAAGTAACTACTGGTCTGACCACTGACCAGTATAGTTTCAGTTTTGTTCCTCTGGAAATTGATTTTCTTTTGAACAAACTTTTGTTTGAATAATATGCCTTATTTCCTAGTGTTATTCTCTCCTTAATCTCTTCTTCTATTGAATTATCCTCATTTACTATTGCCCCAGGATAGTTAAATGATCTCACTTTGCCTGTTTTTAAATTTCCAATCTCTTAAGTCATCAATTTTAGATTTGTTTTCTTCACAGTCATATTTTATGTGTTATAAAATTTTGTATTAGTTTTTGAAGTTACTGTAGCTCGTTATATAGTTTAGATGATCCTCATTTGAATGTTATTTAAGACCAAGTGCCAAAACAGTAAATTGTTACTCAGTGACTGTTACCTTAGAATCGTTCATTTCCATGAAGATCATTATCAACGCCACTCTCAGTGGAGCCAAATAATTTTGATAATTTTCATTACCCACATATCAGTACCAACATGACAATCTGAAATTGGAGGGAGTGCAAACTGTTGCCATTCACTGTGGGGCAGTGTATCCAACTGTTGCTTCCAATGTTTATTGGAATTCAGAAGATACATTGTTGGAATGCTAAACATATGTATTGCAATTTTGATGACAAATTTGTAGACATATAAATAAAACTGCAAAGCATACGTGAATGTGAAACATTTGTGTGTTCTTCGCTCCACAGAGTCAGTTGTAAAATAGCAAATCTGATTAAAGTCTCTTGGGATCCGTGTTGGATCCTTCCATCATATTAGATATTTCTGGCATGTTTAATTATACAGACAATTCTTAGCATAAGAATTCTGATTCTAGGCTGTGGATTGAAATTGAAAAAGTGCTGTATATTTCTGACCATGTATGTGCAAGGGAGTTGCCGCATTGCAGTTCATGGGCGAGAGCTGTATTACAAAACAATTTTCTATAAAACCAGTGGTATTTGTATGGAAAAATTCAAATGTCATCACCAGGGCCCGGATTTTGATGACCTGAAAATATTTAAGAAATGACCGAAAAAATCCAGAAAAATGACCTAAAATATGACCCAAAAATGTAATATGCAGGGCCCGGATTTTGATGACCTGTAAATATTCAAGAAATGACCGAAAAATTCCAGAAAAATGACCTAAAGGGGAAAAGAAAGAACACTTCGCTTCCATGTTATTCACATTTCAGAAAACATATGAAGGAAAATTCCCTAAAATGGCCAGAAACGACAAGAAATACCCTTAAAGGTACAAAAAATTACCCCCAAAATGAAAAAATTACCTTAAACCTAAAAATGACAAAAAATTACCCATAAAATTTACATTTCTGTAACCAGCAGTTCATATCCGAGATTTATATATTTAAGACCATTGCATAGGATACAAGGAAAAAAAGATGACATGTCATCAAAATCTGTCAATCAATATGTAGCCCTTGTGAGTTTTTTTTTCTAAAAAATAAATATATATAAAAGACGTGGGTCTATATATCCACTCCCCCATATACCTTCATGGCTTAGTGCGTAATTAGTTAAGCATGGACATTTTTACATACAAGAAAAGGCCTAGGCAATGCCCATCTGGCCCTCTGTAGCACAGTCTATTACATCTTACTTTATCATAGTGGTCGCACCGCGATTTTTGAATATATCTCTTAATTCTAGTAGAATTACTATTTAGTACATTTACATTTTTATTTTGTAATATAAATTTAGGAATTTTGTTTATGAAGTAACAGACGTCTTGCACAAATATTTTTTTTCCTTAGCCTTAAGAGCTTTGTAACTGACTTCAGGTATTATTTTTTGCTGTTCTCAAAAAAATGTCCATCATTGTTGCCCTTTGGTCCCCATACAGTTTACTATCCCAGAAGCTATGTTTCTCGGTTTGCAACCCTTTACCACATTCGCATTCAGCCTTGAGCACAACATTAAATCTACTTAATCTTGCTTTAAGAGTGGAGTGGCCTACTCATAAGATTTATTGCGACGAAAGCATGACGGTTAATTTGATATCGCGGAATCACGAACCCGAGCCATTCTCATTAAAACACCGAAAGGGACAGAGCGGAAAGCTGCTTTGAAAGGTTGCGAATTCATTCGTATATCGATTTGTGCTGCCATCTTGTATTAATTTTTTCTAAGTAAGAAAGCAGAATGGGCAGAACGTACGTATACAAGGCAGTGGCACG